CCAAGGCATAGTGCAATTAAAGTTGTGGTTGAAATCAAAGAACTCGAATCGGTTAGATATTACGATCGCTCTGTCTAAATTGAAAATAATTTATTTCTTTTTGGCTTCAAATTTATATATTTTTGTGGCGTATATAGCTTGCGGATGTCAGAGCCGCCAGCCGACTAACTATTAGACAATGCAGCACTGGTCAAAGTACGAGGAAGTGCCAGTTGCATAGTTGGAGATCCCATTTGAAATTTGACAGCCTTGCCATCGGGTAGTTGCTGCTGATAAAATGTTAACTACTCAGACCAGTAGCGCGCACCCCGCTGAGTAAATTTGAGAGAGAGAAAGCATGGTAAGGAGAGAAGGAAGAAAAACATAAATTTTAACTTTTCTATTAAGTTTTTTCAAATTCAGGTGCATACTTTTCCTAGAGCAATTTCGTTATCAGTGCCGGAAAATGCACCTCTTGGAACGATTATAACCAACCTAGCACCCAGTAATGAATCGCAGCGTTTCGAATTCCAAAAACCCGGTACTCCAGACGACTATCCAATTCGGATACTTCCATCCGGCGAAGTATATGTTGCTTCCGAAATTGATCGCGAAACCTTAGAGTATTTTTCTATTCCCGTTACTGCTATAACAGTGGATAAGGATGGATTTTCAAGCAAACAGGATTTTGTGCTCCGATTGTATATAGAAGTACGTTTTGTTCATGCAAATATTTATCCTAAAGATGGCGCGATTTTGATTACGATAAAATACAAGAACAGCAAGGATGAGGCTGTGGCATGTAGTGAGGGAATAGCGCACTTTTACTATCTTTTCCATTTACAGGAAGAGCGAGTAAAGGTGCGTCACTCCAAAGCAATTTTCAAATTTTCCTAATGAAATATCTTTCTTTTTTTTTCAAGGATCTCAATGATAATGCGCCAGAATGTCCCGAACAAAACAGATTCGTCGTATCTGAAAATAACATTCCTGGAGCTATCGTAGGAGTATTCAGTGCCATTGATAGGGATAGCGGCTTAAATGGCACAGTATTTTATGAATTGATGTACGACAATAGCAAAATATTCAATATCGACCGAAATTCTGGAGTCGTACGTTTCGAAACAACCTTTCCTTTTTTTTTTAAAAATTCTTGCTTCGAATCATTTGAGACTTTTTGCAGATTTTTCTTGCAGAGTTTTATTCTCAAAAATGTGCAAAGCATACTGATGAACAAATAAACAGTTTACAAAGAAACACAATAATCAATTTTTCTAAATAGCCCGACTTCCCACTGGAAAAGGATTCTTTCGTTCGACTTCCTAGTAGAAAATTGTTTCGATGGTGAATTAGTGCTGCTGCTTGCCTTGCTTAGCTTTACTTCAAAATCATAAGATTTTCATACAAAGTTTAACTATTTAAAGTCCTCTCAGAAAGTCATCTTGACGCCCAATAAAAAAGTCATCAACTAGTGAAATATTTCCAGCAAAACACAATTTAACTAAATAAAGGTAGTTTCTTAAGAAGTCAAATTATTTCGTAGTGCTCAAGCGGCCTAACAGCTGATTCTGGATAAATTTCAGATCCGCGTATTGTCAATCCTGGATTTTGAAACAACCCAATCCTACAACATCACAGTGCTTGCAACAGACGGAGGTTCTTTGAAAACAAAATGCACGGCCGTAATTGAAGTGATCGATTTGAACGATAATGCTCCACAGTGGGATCGAAAATTTTACCACTTCAATACTTCTGCGACAATTGACAATGGTACCTTCATTGGTACGTTAATGGCTCAGGATGGAGATTCCCGAAGAAATGCTGAAATACGATACAAACTGCGTCAAAAATGGATGCCCTTCAAGGTTTTTCGAATTTTTAAAAAATCCAATGTCTATTTTGCATGCTCTATTAATCTTGTCGTTTTAAAAAGTCGTAAGATTATCGAGTCCATCCGGACACTTAGTGCAGAGACTCGGTATTAATGATATTACTGGGATGTACTCATACACTAAACTCAGTTTCATGTCCTGAATTGCAGTTGTCCCCTCAGCGATCAAGACCAGGATGTGTACTTGCAGCAGGTGTTTACTTTTTT